CAAAAATTTGAAAAAACAAAAGGTGTTAATGAAAAACAGCTGAACCCTTCCATTCTTGCCAGAAATAAAATCGCATACAAAAAGATGACGATCAGTCAGGACCATTTCCTCTTATTCAAAAGTCTTTGGAAGAGTTTGAGAAAAAGAAAACTGGGAAGGGGGGAACCAAACCAAATCAAAACAAAACAAGAGACTGTTGAAAACCCTCTTACAGGGTCAGCGTCAATGGAACGCATTTTAGTATTCAGGTTACCCACCCAAGCAGAACATCAAAAAACTGGGCTTGAGTCTCTCCCCTATTCTCACAGGCTCAGGCTACTGTGGAGCCGCTGGGGCTGTCCTGAATAGTAACACGCTCTGCCTCTGCGGGATGCATAAACACCAACACAAGCTGATCAAACAGGAGGTGGTGTCGTTTCTACTTGGCTTTCAGTTCCATGAGTCATACTTTAAAACACCTAAGTCTGGCACAATTTAGCAAGTCAGTTGTCCAGTCCAATGTGCAGTTTACTTTTTCATTCATTTTCACCACCTACTCTATCGTATCCTTTCCTTTTCAGCATACATACTGGATAATTATAGGAAAAATCATACATTTTAATAACTTCTCTTATTGGCACTGTCACTGAAATACAGATGTCAATTCTAAAATGTGGACTCACTTATGAGCCTTTCAAAAGTTTCAGTCTTTAAAGCAATTTTGGGATCTGAATTTTATAGGTTCATCTCATTTATGGCATTCTTATGGAACTTAAAACCTGGGATTATAAATCTTTTAAAAATATGAAAATCCTTACATCTTCGAAGTTTACGATGACTTGATTTGGTTACAGCATTACAGAAAATTCTGAGGCAGTTAAAGCTTAAAGAATGATTGACATGAGAAAAGATGATAGGGTATTTAATTTAAAACGTCTTAAATTGTTACTTTCATTTTAGACCTAATTACAAGTCAATCTTCAGACACAGTATTGGGTAGATGTAAAAAATATTTTTCTGTCAGGATTATAATTTTTGATGGAGAATTAGTAGCAGAGCATAACACTTTAAGATGAAGAGCTAAGAAGTAAGTACTTAAAAGGTTAAAAAAAGGACGGAGGGAAAGAACATAGAAAAGATAAATACAAGACTTGAAACCTTTCTCAACTACTTAAGAAAATGCTATTGATTTTCCTAGTTCATCAAGAACTCTTCAATTAAGAAAATGGTATTTGATTTAGATAAGTTTTCCTAATAATGGTACTCAAGGACATTTCTAATACTATGACTAATAACAAAAGGTACTATGCATTAAATATTAACTCTACCAGGTACTTTTATATTTACTTTCTGTTACTCCACTCAAACCAGCAATGTAGACTTTATTATCTCTGTTTTACAGATAGAGATGACACAGCTAGAAACTTGCACATTTGGGATTGTTTTCAAGTGACTCACAATCCAAAGACCATTTCTGAGAAGTTCGTAATTAAAAAAACACTGCCCAGTTATACCTATGTATGGAGTATAATTTAGGTTCTAGAACACGAAGTCAGAATTGACTGAAGTTCTAGAAGGAAATAAGTACTACAGTACTAATTTCATAGTGACAGGCTGGGTCAGAAATTATAACTAGCTATAGAATATACCCCAAAAATGTATATAAACACATCTATATCTTAAAGTTTTCAAATAGTTGCCAAAGTCTCACTCAAAAGTATTACACAGTTCTGCAGTTAAACTCTAGCAGCTAGTAAAGCTTATCCACATGTGGAGCTTATTTCACTGGTTAGACATATCACCACTCACAAACAGACTGAACTACAGTATATAATTACCCCAAGGATACTGTGCACTGAAAATGGCTTGTTGTGGTGCTTAGATAGTGATTAACAGATTAAGAGTATAGTGAGTTGTCTTGATATCACTTCAGAAAAGTGATTTCCTCTCTAATAATTCCCAAGATACATAAATATTCAATTAGGGTCTTTGAAATCTAGTTTTAATTGGGCATTCATACTCGCTATCAAATTTCAAACTTAGCTCAAGCTAACAAAGGTATTTTATTAATTCTTCCTCTAAAAAATGCTAATAACCCTTCATGAGTTTTAAAGTGTGAGAGTAAAATAAAATCAAGATCATCTTTTACATGAAATATTTAAGTTTACTAACAATTTAAGATATTCTCTATAATGGTGAGAAATATAATTACATATCTGAATCACATGGGGAATTGATTAAAGTTTCCTAGGACTCTCATGAGACCTTATAATGAAGATGATGATAATGATGATGGTAATAATAACAGCAATAAACAATCATATTATTATTATGCACCAGGAACTGTTTTAAGGACCCTACATAGATTTACCAATTAAATCTTCATAACCATCAGTGAATTTGGTACAGTTGTTAAATCCATTAAAAATATCAGGAAATTATAGAGAGATCAGGTATCTTGCCCCAAAATCAAATAACTAATTAAACCTAGGCAAACACACTCCAGAGTCCCTTTCTCTTCATCTCTATGCCATTCTGCCTTTCTAGATATCAAAATGTCTAGGATCTAGATCTAGATATTTTCCCCTTGACTCCCTTGCAGCCCTCCAAAGAGCAATCAGCAAATCAGGCTAAATATCTGCAGCATTTACACTTCCATTTCACTAAATGGGGACCAAAATCTAAAACCAATTAAAAAAAAAACGAATAATGAAATGCCAAATAATTAATAAATATATCCAACCTGCCTGTCTTTTTAAAGGTTGGACGTCTAATCGTTTCCTCATCCTACATGGTTCCTTATGTGGCCAGATGGGTGGCATTTTACAGTACAAGGAGGCAGATCTCAGAAAAGCCTACTTGAGCAGTTCTCAGACTTTCTTGCCCAGGACTCTTTTACACTCTTAAAACTTAATGACCCACATTAGAGAAATTAAAATCAAAACCACAGTGAGATACCATATCACGCCAGTTAGAATGGTGATCATTAAAAAGTCAGAAAACAAAAGGTGCTGGAGAGGATGCAGAGAAATAGGAACCTTTTACCCTGTTGGTGGGAGTGTAAATTTCAACCACTGTGGAAGACAGTGTGGTGATTCCTCGAGGATCTAGAACCAGAATACCATTTGACCCTGCAATCCCATTACTGGGTATATTCCCAAAGATTATAAATCATTCTACTATAAAGACACATGCACACGTATGTTTATTGCAGCACTGTTCACAATAGCAAAGGCTTGGAGCCAACCCAAATGCCTACCAATGATAGACTGAGTAAAGAAAATGTGACACATATACACCACAGAATACTATGCAGCCATAAAAAGGATGAGTTCCTGTCCTTTGCAGGGACATGGATGAAGCTGGAAACCCTCATTCTCAGCAAGCTAACATAGGAACAGAAAATCAAATACCACATGTTCTCACTCATAAGTGGGAGTAAAACAATGAGAACACATGGACACAGGGAGGGGAACATCACACACTGGGTCCTCTCGGCGGGGATGGGGGACTAGGGAAGGGATAGCATTAGGAGAAATACCTAATGTGGATGATGGATTGATGGGTGCAGCAAACCACCATGGCACGTGTATACCTATGTAACAAACCTGCACGTTCTGCACATGTAACCCAGAACTTAAAAGTATAATAATAATAAATAATAATAATGACCTAGTGACTTTGATTTTTTTTTTCTTTTCTGAGACAGAGTCTTGCTCTGTCACCCAGGCTGGAGTGCAGTGACGTGACCTTTGTTCGCTGCAACCTCTATCTCCTGGGTTCCAGCAATTCTTCTGCTTCAAGTCCCTCAAGTAGCTGGGACAACAGGTGTGTACCACCATGTCTGGCTAATTTTTATATTTTTTGTAGAGGCAGGGTTTCACAATGTTTACAAGGTTGGTCTCGAACTCCTAAGCTCAAGTGATCCGCCCATCTCAGTCTCCCAAAGTGCTAGGATTACAGGTGTGAGCCACTGCGCTTGGTCTCTAAAGTGATGTTTGATTATGATATCTGTAATTGTCAACATTTAAGTATTGATAAACTAGAAAAATTCTAAAACTTGAGAATATGTAAGCACACATGACATATGCCATCAGAACAATGATGTCATCACATGTCATTTACCTTCTGGAAAACTTCACTGAACACTTGTTAAAGACTATGAGTGAAAGGCAAATAATGTCTTAGCTTTATTATAAACATGTTTTCCTTTCACATTTCCTCAGAAAGGGTGTCAGAGACGCCCAGGTTTCCCTAGAGTACACTTTGAAAACACTGATATAAGAACATTGTTTGCTTTTAAAAATAACTGACATGGAAGTTCTACCACACAGAAATATTCATTTGGGCAATTTATTTTTCCATCTCAAAGATAGTTTCCAAAATAAGTAGGATTACCATCAACAGTAGTCCATTTAAATTCTTGAATAATATGGACCAAATTTTAACTTCTTTAATACCTACTTGTAATCACTTTTATGAAGACATTCATTAAAACTGAAACTAAGTTCTTGTTTTTAGTGTCAATAAGACATAAGGAAGACATATTTATCAAGGCCTATAGAACCTATTATGAGCAAATACAGAAACTCCCCTTTTATCCATACCTCCCAAAATAAATAAAGAAGTTCAATTAATTTCAAGTAGGACAGCTAATTTTCTTTTTTTTATATTTCATGCCTATGAATCAATGAGGACATTTCACAACTCTAAGAAAAAAGTTACACCTGGTTTCTTATGCAGCAATAGAGTTAATTTTAATGGACCATACTGACATTCAGATTGGAGTAATGACATTAAAGATTTGGGGAAAAACCTGCTCATCTTAGATGTATAAATGCTATTTACAGGCATGCTCACACTACATTCTCACAATGTATCACAATGAATGAAAAATCTGGATTTTTCTTTCCATTGATCAACAACTCTCTAACCCTCTCCCTTCCCTTACCCCACATAACACAGAAAGATAACCAAGGAAAAATGTCAGGAGGACCTCACTCATACTTGCAAGTTTTACGTTTTATTATAAAATTGGTTATTCTGCAAAGAAATGCATTTGCATGAAATGAGAAGGCATAAATGCAGTAATCATCTAAGTATAAAAATGTCCTTGTGGGCAAACAAATGATAAATTACAATACAGCCATATTCTTTAGGGCTCCTCCCAAAGTGAGCAAATGCATATTTTGAATATAATGCAAATCTAGGAAAGAGAAGGCAAAATAGCCATTTGCAAACTTAAGGACAGATCATCCTTTCTTAATTCCAACTGCTCTAGCCATTCACACCATGCTAAATTAAGGCTGCACAGCATTTCTTAAAATCACTGTTTGATCCTAAATATGAAAATCGCAATCAGTTTTCCTTGCTGATTTCTGGGCCAAAACTCCCCACTCCTAACAGTAACTGTCACTTCTACTTGGCAGCCCTTTTCAAAGAGAGTTTCAACCAACACTTAAAGTGGTCCAAATCAAATCTGAAAAACAATTCAGTTTTGCATCATTTTATCTGATTAACTTCAATCCTCATGATTTTATAGTCTTTTCTTATCTACTATTTATGATTTCCTTGGCTATATATAGCTCACAAAGGAATCGATGGTAAATCAAATCCATAAAAAACCTGCCTTTCCTAATGAGTAGAAACAATGCCAGGCACAGTAGCCGCAGCCAGTACTGCCATACTTGCTATCATCCCCTGTGGAAAAGAGTATTTAGATCTGTAAAATGTAAGAAGATCATGATTAAGAATATCATTTTTGAAAGCCTTTCCATTCATATTTTTGAGGAGCACTCTCAGTCTGAAGGATAATCACACTAAGCAACCTAAAATGAGACATCAAAAGCATTTACCCATCAGGCAAATCACATGCTGGCTTATCACTCTTCAGGCCAGGGACTCCTGATGCAGCCTAACATCTCTATCTAAAAGAATTAAATAGTTCAGAGAAAACTTTGTATTAATCATTCCTCCTACCTTTATTTTGTAGAAATAATCTAGTCAACCATATACACAAATGGATCAGGTTACTGAATACTTAGTGATAAAGAAGAGCTATGGAATGGCATTCAAATACTCTGACACATTCACCTTCAGCTAAAGACAGTACAATACACTGACAGGCACAGTTCTAATGACATCAGGACCTGTGGAATGTATGACTGCTAGGAAACACATGCTGCTAGGAAACAAAGAACAGATCTGATCAAATCTTGTAAGGACTGGGAATCACTGTGATTAGATCTTCTAAAATGGGAGGACAAGTATTCTTTAATCCTCAGGAATATTTGCAGGTTTAAAAACTTGAACACGTATCTTCTAGAAATGAAACAAATACATGAAGCTAGATTCTCATGAATTAAACCAAAATTTTCTAAGTTTTCTATTAAGGTAATGGCCATTAGCAATATCTCTCATAAAAAAAAATAACTTAATCAAAGTCAAGCATCAATGATTTGGCATTTGTCTTTTGCAATCTATGCTTTTTCAAGAGGTCAAGGTCTTCAAAAAATAATGAAGACATCCAGACATAATTGTATCTAAAAACAAAGTACGCTGTTACATTAACAGTACTATACTTTTTAAAACAGAATAGAATTTAAACAAGCATTTGCAACAAACACCAAGACAGTCAGAGCTAACCTAGACCTAAGGAATTTAATACATTTTAATTACTGAAATGAAAAAACAGTTTCACCTGCAAAAGTAACAGTTTATAAACTGTGTTTATATTTGTACATGCTTTACCCTGGCTTTGGTTACAAATAAATAAGTAAGTAAGATTGAGTGAAACAAAGCTGAGAGAGAATTCAACACACGAATATCCTCTTAACTCCCATACAAATTATCTGGTATCCTATTTTGGTGATGTATAAAAGAGCAGAGAATTCTATCCTATTTGTAATCCACATACAGAAAAATTGGGCGCCAGAAGTCCAGATCATTTTGGACCATTACATATGGAAAAATATACTAGAGAAATCTTACTTAACTCTGTTTATTCTCATAGGGAAATATAGGAGAGTCTCCAAATGCAAAAATGCTAAAGAAGTGTTTCTTTGCAGATTCTACGATGACATTCTTCAACTAGTGATGATAGCCCATACGACACTAAAATTAGCAGACCGCCTATTTACTTCAGAGCAAAACACAGAAGGCAATTTTTCCTTCCTGCCAGAGTCTATGCGTCTCCTCATTTCCCCAGCAGCTGGCTGGAAGGATGTAAAATCAGAGGTGCAAGAAGCTTTATACTTCCTAATGAGTAATACAGCCAGGAAAGTAAACACAACAGACGACAGCAGGTTCGGCTCTAAAGGAGACTGTGGCAGGAGTGCTTACACCGTTGTTTACAATGTGCTCTAACTACCGCAGGCAGGGATCACAGGCAGACACAGGGAGGAGACACCCTGGAGGTGGCTCGCAAGGCTCGAGTTCCCCCAACTGCTATGATATCTCTGGCCATAAATAAAAGCAGCGCATGTTTCTATCAGAGGAAGGAAAGTGGCCAGAGAATTCCAGGGAGGAGTTACGCTAGCTGGACTCGATTACTTCGATCTGCTGGAGAGATGACTACTCTATGAGGTCCTCATCAGGGCCAAGCTGAGGTGCATCAAGCGCTGCACCAGCGACTCTCACGCGTGGCACGCATCTCGCCGAGCTGCGCCTCTCCGGGGGAAGGGGTCCTGATGAGGCTTTCTCGCCACCCTGCGGGAGTCCCCGTGGCCTCCTCATACCAGATTTTCCAGTTAAGCGGATCCCAGGCGATTTCAATAAGCAAGCTCAGCTCCAGTAGCATCAGCTCAGGCATCCCCGCAAATATCTCCCTGCCGAACCTGGGGCGCAAATATGCGCACACACTCACACGCCGACTCCGCCGCCAAGTAACCCCGGTAGAGGAGGTCGCCCCCACACCTACCTACCTACACACACACACACACACACACACACACACACACACACACACACACACACACACACACACACCCCTATACTGCTGGGGGCCTGGCACGCTAAGCTTCTGAGCTCCGACGTGGGACCTGAGGCTGGGTCTCCGCAGCTCTGAGGCTCCGCTGCAGCCTGGAGCCTTCCCTTCTCCCGAGAGAAGCACCGAGGTGCCTCTTCTCCTACCTGTAACCCGCCAACCTCGACCACCAATGCCCTGCCCACCCCGCCCCGTCGCCGCGGCCGCCTGGATTCGTGCAACACCGCCGCCCCTCGCCCAGTGCCCACTACCAGCACAACGAAGCCCGGGCCACCCACGAAAGTGGCAGCTTTCTCCAGCCAAAGCCACTTCACAAAGCCTGGGCACGGAGGTCTAGACCAAAGTGCCGTGAAGGGGACACAACAGGCGGGGCGCGGGGAGGCAGCAAGACTCCGCGACTCAGGGGCGCGACCTAGGCAAAAGCAGCCACCAGGGAAGGTCTAGGCGGGCGTCGAGAGAGAATCGCGCCGGGCTAGGCACCCTGCGTTTTCGATCTTCCCAGAGCCCAGCTCCTCACCCAGACCCTGTCCGTCCTCCAGCCCGCTCCCGCCTCCAGCGGCACCAGTTCCAGCCCGGCGGAGAAAAGGCGCCCTCTGGTCCGCTTTCTGCCCCCACCAGGGGATGGCACTGGGGTGAGAGGGGAGGGAAAATTTACGGAGTGGAAACTGTTCCCATTCCCCAGCGTGTGCGGCTGCGAAGGCGCCCCGTCTCGTATCCCCATCATTCTCCACCGCTGCCAAATCGCTCAATGGTTGGAGAAAACTCGAACCCGAGCCAGACCCGAGCGCCCACCAGACAGGAGGTTCCCTTCCCACCCCGCATCACGACCCTATGAGTGTGTGTGTGTGTGAGGGCGAGTGTGTGAGTGGAAGGGCGAGTGTGCGTGTGCACCCCGCACCCCCTCTGTGGCCCGCCGGGTGGATGCTGCCGCCTGCGCCCAGCCAGGGCGACCCCTATTATGAAGAGTGCGAAGAATAAATTACCTTTCGTAACCGCCGGTCCCTGAGATCGTCCCATCAGTTGCTCAACAACCTGAGCGCAGTTTCCACAATCCAGCCATTGAGCCCGGGGCAAAAAACCGGCCGGCCCCTGTGCAGACACCCCCAACCACAGGCGGCTAATAACGAGAATCGAAGCGCAGAGAAAGCAGCAGGAGGGTGGAGACCCCAGTCAAGGAAACAACAACAAAAAGTCTCTTCCCTTTCTTCTGCCACACAGCCTCGGAGAAAGGGGCAGGGAAACGAGAGCCAAATGCTCGCCTTTCTTGAGGCTCCTCGCTTCACACACGCCAAGGGAGCAAAAGCAGAGCGAAGAGAAAAGGGGGTTCAAACGTCTCTCCCAGTCCACAGTTGCACAACTTCGGAGTCAGGCTCTGTCTCCAGCAGCAGCCGAGGGACCCAGCGGCAGCTATTAACATGCGGCAGTCACAGCCAGGGCTGCTTCTCCTCCTCTCGCTGCTGCTGCCGCCGCCGCTTAAGAAAAGACGCTGCCGAAGAGACCAAAAATCTTCCACCATCCCCCCAGCCGATCTTTATATCCAGTTCTCCCACCCCACCCCCCTTCTCTTTCTTTTTCTTCTTCCACGTCCTCCCCTTTCCGCCTCGGAGCGGGAGCGATGGAATAGGTAGGGGGAGCCGCGAGGGCCAGGGGTGGCTTCTCCGCCAAAGCGTCCTCTTCCTCGTCCTCCCGAGGTTCTCTCCCAGCCGAGGGTCCCCCCTCGCGCCCGCAGCCTCCGCGGACAGCCGGAGCGACAGCCAAGCAAACTCCTTCCCGGGTGCACGGCGGGGGCGTGCGGGCAGAGCGGGCGCCCGGCAGCCGAGGGCTGCGTCCCGGGGGCCGGCGAGCCCCGAGCCCTGGGGGTGGCTGATTAGCTCGCCGGCCGGGCCGGGCGGCCGCGGGCATGTGGGAGCTTCATCGCGCGGCCCCGGGCTCCGCGCCGCCGCCGCCGCCGCTGTCTCTTCGGTTCTTTCTCTTCGACTCCCCAGGAGCGAGCGAGGCACTGGCGCTCTCCAGACACGCACACTCACACACGCGCACACACGAGCGAGCTCCTGCCAAAGCAAACCGTGCAACCCGCGCGCGCGCACTCCCGGAGGAAGAGGACGGAGGCAAAAAGAGAAGAAAGAAAGGGGAGGGGGCGAGTCACAGGCGGCGGCGGCGGCGGCGGCAGCTGCCGGAGCGGAGGCAACGAGCAGTCCGGGAAAAGCCAGCAGTGGCGGCGGCGGCGGCGGCGGCGGCGCCCACCCCGACCAGCTGCAGCATCTGCATCCCCGCTCCTGGGAACTGGAGCGAGCGGTGCCGGGCGGCAGGCTAAGGGGGGCGACGCGCCGAGAGCGGGTCAGAGCGCGGGCGCGCGGGGGCCTTGCAGCCTGCGCGCGGGGCGGACGCAGCCGGGGCCCGAGCCGAGGCCAGAATGAGCCGCGGGCGGGCGGGCGGGCGGGCGGCGAGAGCTCGGAGGGCCGGGGAGGGGGCTCGCGCCGGGGAAAGGGGCGGCCGGCAAAACCCGGATCTGGAGTGCTCGCGGGCTCCGCGGCGCGGGCTCCACCTAGCAGTTCGGCAAACGCTTGGAGGTGGGAATGAACGGGAGGGCTGCTACTAGAGGCTTCCCTTTCAGGGCTTGTCAGACAAAGGGTACCTCTCCAGCGGCTTCGAGGCTCGCCTCTGCTAGTGCGCTCTCTCGCGCTCTCTCTCTCTCTCTCTCTCTCTCTCTCTCTCTCTCTATCTCTCTCCCCCTCTCCCTCCCTCTCCCTCTCTCCCTCCCCTCCTTTTCCTTCTCCTCCTCTCCCTCCCTCTCTCCCCCTCCCACACTCCATCACCCCCTCCTCGTCCTCCCTCCGTTCTCCTCTAGTCTTCCTCTCCCACTCCATCCTAGGTGAGTAAACGACATCAGTTTGAAAGTCCTGCCAGTGTCTCATTTTTTTTTTTTTTTCAGGTGCAAATCATTCCGTATTTTCATCATGCAAGTACCGACTCTGAAAATGTTTCCTGCCTTTGGTCCATTTTATGTTCCTTCAAACTTAACTCAACCTGCAAGTTCATTGCAGTTTAAAGTATCCCTGTCTGATGATGAAGCGTGGAGATTCAATTATCTTATTTCATGACATCAATGAAAATTACCATAATGGATACAGAAAGGTGCCTATTCCAAAGCCATGCCTTCTGAGTGAGGAAAAGTCTGCTAAAGTTAAATGAGTGACCTTGTTCAATTGCTGAATCGTTTGGTGCCTTTTTGTAAAGGAGAGTGTTGAGTAGATGATTTGTCAGGTCTTTTCCTGATGTAGAATTTTGTGATTTCAAATGGCTGTTATTTTCTCTACTAGGACACTCAAGTCACTAATGTATATCATCTTCATCCAACAAGCACATTACATCTATAGTTAAATTTCCCAAATTGTATTTGATTGTATACATTTAGAACTACTTCTAGAAGCTCTTTAAAAGGTAATATCAATCCTAGCATATCTGAAGAACCTGAAACCTCTTTAGAATTAAAACTATAACCAAAATGACAGTTAAAATCTCATTCAATCCTTTAAAGCTCAACTCCAATCCAACATTCTCCAAGAAGCCTTTTCTCACCAATGCTCCTTCCCCAAAAGTCACTCCTTTCATGACGTTTCATAACACTTTGATGACATCTGTTGAATAACACCTATTTTATTTTGCTTTTTCCCTTATTCCTTTTAAATCATCAATGGTTTGTCAGTTTGCCTCTTCAGATTATAGTTTGTCTTGAATGCAAATTCCTAGTTTTAATTGTCTGTATAAGAAAAGATTACTCTATATCCACAGTCCTTTGCATGTAGTTACTCCTTTAAAAAGAAAATCAGGGGTGAGAAGGGACATTTAATGATATTGCTGAATTCTGACCAACTAGATGTTCACAAACTGAAGTTATGCTACTTGAATTTGCCTGATACAGGACATCCATGTACTCCCCTGGGTACTTAGAGAAAATACAAATTAACATCTGGAGTCACTTGTTACTTAAATAATTTTGGAAAGAGTAGACTCTAGCTAATTGTGACAAGAGGCTCTTATTTATAAAGGAGGATAAATGGAAGTTAATTCATCTCTCAAATGCTTAATGTTTGTGTTAAGTAATAAAAATAATATTTTGAAAATATATATAATGGCAAGTATAGATATTAAAGATTATTAGTGGTAGCATCAGAAATATTAAATACATGTTTAATATACATTTAGATTGATACAAATATATATATTGATAATGTATAGATATTAAAGATTATTAGTGATAGCATCAGAAATATTAAATAAATAGTAGCTACAGATCAGTTTTTAGAATCAGCTTTATCACAACACCAGAGGTCTGGAGGAATACAGGAAAATGAAATTTCAAAGTAAAAGTTATATATATATATATATATACATATGTTTATATATATATACACACATACATATACATGTATGTATATATACATAAATGAAATATTAACTGAAAACTAAGCATAGTCCGTTAAACAAGTAATTGGAAGTGTTCAGCACGGAGGAGTTGACCACATATAAGCGAACTTACAAAGACAATAATGAGGGAGAAAGAACTCAAAATGGGAAGGGTAAAGTGAATAAGAATACTGATGAGTAAAGAAAAGCAATGAAAGAAAGAGAATAGGCTGTTTATGTAGCTTAATCAAATGTCAAGGCATCATTTTTTACAGCAGCTGCTTACATTTTAATCTCAAACTTCATGCTTCCGAATCATTTTTAATCTCATGGTCATAGTCTTCTATACCTGGTTTAAGACATAAAGCATCCCACTTCATTGCCAGGAAATGCGTGACTCTTGCCAATATTTTTCCAAGGTGAAGCTTCCATAAAAATAAATCCTATGTCCTTTTTGCTACTATATTTAGCACCTATGTTACATGTATTTAACACGTTCTTCTCAATGAGGAAACAGCATACAGTTGATGGGTGAGCACGGATGCTATCATACAGTGTAACTCTGTGCAAACTAAAGTGGTTTTTGAAAAAGATGGCACCGTTGACTTCAGCACCATTAAAATTGAAAAAAAAATATTTACCAAAGGGAAAGGGCTCCAAAAATGAAAAAAACAAAAAACAAAAAACAAAAATCAAAGGTGAATATCTAATCAAATGAGGTAACAAGAATTAAAATATGAAAGTGACTATTAAAATTTTTAGACCCTTTCAAATCAATAAGAAATATACTAAGATCCCCAACACTATGAAAGTTTAGACAAGACTTTAAAACAATCTTTTCACAGAATAAATAGAAATGGCCAATAAATGTAAGGAAATATGTTCTACCTATAGAAATCTAACACATAAAAATATATCCAATGAGGGGATCTATCATGTTTCATGTTCTGACCATATAATTAGCTGAAATAGCAATAGTGCTCTATTACTAAACTCTAACAAAAGTGTACTGAGACAGACATGCCTCTATGCTAGTAATATACACTGACACAGTTGCTCTAGAAAGCAAGCTGACAATATGAAACAACTGACTTATAGAATATATACGCACTTAAATCCAGCGTTTCTATTTATAGATATCTCTTCTACAGAAATAAGCAGGGATATGGAAAAGGATTTTGTATAATGATATACATCTCAGCCATAATTGCTGTAAAAGGGGAGACGGTGCATAATGTTTACATATTCAAAGTAATCTTTTTTTCATACGCAGTAAAAGCCCTCTTATCTGAATGAAATCAATAGTTTTTCAGTTAGTGGGAAAAAGTTGACTAAAGCAAAAATATTTTTTTAAGTGATGCATACATACTATATTAGTTAGGATTCATTTTGGCTTCAAGCAACAGAAACAAAACATAGCAATGATCTAAACAAGACAAATTTGTTTCTTTTTCAAATGAAAATCTAGAGGTAGGTGGTCTAGTGCAGGTATGGCCCTCAAAAGCATGCCAAACTGAAATAGGCACTTTCTGTCTTCTTGCTCAGCCATCTGTGGCCCACTATTCCTAATTTCAGTTCTGGCAATCACGCCTACCTTGCAAGAGCAAAGATGGAAGGGAAAAAGGAGGAAGAGAAGAGCATTCTTGCATCCAGGGAAAATTTCCTAACGTTGAATACACCATTTTCCCTTTCATTTCATCCTTAGGTGGGAAATGTAAACTACTCTAAGCAGTCATGTGCCCAAGTGAAAATCAAGATTCTTTCATGATTTAGCTCCTCCTCAGCCTTTGACTTACCATTGCATACTACCCTAGGCTAGGCTTGCATGTATAAGTCTTTCAGTAACCAAATGTGTGGATAATGCAGACACGTGACAGAGCTGCTCTCACATGAAATGACCTTCTACTTCAACCAGATGTAAGCTTTCACACGATTTCAAATTACTGAGCTGTTGCCATCAGGGACAATACTCTCTAATACCCAGTCAGATATCCACAGACAGTTACTATCTTAAATGCTACTGGGCCTAAATTCACTGACAAATCAAGGTAATCAGAGTTAAATCACATCTGCAACGCAGACAGCAAAGCATAGCACTCAGACTCCTAGGATGCCATGGCGTGATTAGAATTTTAAGGCATTTGGAATTCAGTAGAAATGATTCAAATATAAATTATATAGGCTATCAGAACATATTTGACTACCCTATGGCATAGCCTAATCTTAAGAAGCACACAGTGACCCTTTCTGTACCTTGGCATATTTCTCAAAGGACCATTTTAAGTCTGTAAAATCTTACCCAGATTATATTGTGCTGCTAACTTGTTATCTTCTATTCCCTCCTTGCTTCACGTAATTCACGCTTCTTCTTTTTCAATCCAAAAGAGACCTGTGAATTCTATGTTCTTAATGACATGGAAGCTTAGCTGTAGATACAGATATCAATACAGATATAAATCTAAATATTTTTAACAGCTTCTCCTAAGTATTAAACA